GGTTCTTCAGATCTTGTTTGTGTAATTAAAGAGTTAGAGATTAACACTGAATCTATTTTGGGATTTAAATTACAAGGTTGTGAATCAAATGTGTAATCTCATTTCTTTGTGTACAGTTCTTTATAGTAATTTGGGAGATGGAACTGGTAAAGCAGAAAGTTTAATACTGCACTCACTTCCTTAGGTATTGTTCGTTAATCAGATTCTCCTGGTGAGGTTTCTGTATAAAACTGGAGTGCTTCAAAGCACTCCTTTTTTTCTGCTTTCTCAAATAGTTATTAATGGGAAAGAAATCCTTGTGAAGAGTAGTTGTTGTTGTTATTACTGTTACATTATTGTGGGCATCCAGATCGTAGATAATCCAAGGGGATCTCTTGCTTAGTCTGCTTCCCTTACCTTGAAGGGCGATGAACTGGTTTTGTGCTTCCAGGAGAGTGTTCTTGAAAATCTCCCAGAACTCACCAGCTCCTTTATCCTCCATGGAAGCTTCCCACAGAATCCCTCACAACGGAGCTCTCAGCGAGCTGAAGTAATCTCACAATATGGTTCAGTAGCACTAGATGTCTTCATCCTTCGGTTGACACAGAAACTGAAGAAGCATATGTTTAGCAGAAGTCCAGTTGTCTTTTGCTTCTAGCTGAGAGTGTAAAGAGCTGGTGATTGTTGCCACTTTTCACCATTTCTGAAAAGAAGCTCCTTGAAACAAAATAATACAACTGTATCTGGTTTTGCTTTGATTTCACTTTAGATTGGGGATGGGGGAGCTAACTTCTGCCAGTGTTTCTTCTGTATAATTGCACTGTTTAGTCCTTTAATATCCAGAGATGTTACTTTCAAGTGAAAAGCCATAGATAATAACTGCTTAGCTTGTTAAAGAGCTTGAAAGCAAAGCAGTTATTTCCTCATTTGGTAGCACGAGCCTTTCTGTGGGAGACAGATGATTTTTAATTTTAAACCTTACATATATGGCTGAGTGTATTGATTTCTATAGATAATGTCATTAATTCTTGTCCCATAGTAATACGTATTACTCTAATGCTCCTTTCAGTCTCCTTCTCCTTTTCTGTATTTCCTCCAGTTTAAGACTAAAATCATGCAAGTAGCATAGATCTGTCCCTGAAGAGCTCTGATCTGCTGAAAGCAAGGGTCCTTTTTTCTCATCATCATCCCCTGCAGTGTGCTTCTTCGAGTTCCCAGGAGGTCTCCCTCCACCTGGAGGCTTCTGATCAAGAGGACTTCGCTACAGCTTTTTCATGATTTCCTGTGTTTCAGTTTTCTCCATTCTTTTTTGATCACTCTTACTATCCTTTTTTTTTTTTCTAGTAATAACGCTTCTTTTTCTAAGAGTTCTTGCTACATAAACCAAACTCTGAACTATTTTTTCATAACATCAGTGTATTACTGTCCAACTTCCTAACTCATAATAACTTTATAACTCATGATAATTCTCTTTGTTCATGTCCTCTGTTCATGTCTTAGTCTTGTTCAGCCCTTGTCTTTTCCTGCCCCCATCCCTATGGCTTGATCATCTCCTTAGCTACCCCTCCTTTGGGATGATTCCATTTATTATAGAAATTACAGATTTAGTGTCACAGACTGGATGTTCTTATGTTTCCCTTATTGAAGTTTTCTTTTTTAAAACCTGTAGATACATTGGAACTAGATGACTGAGTTTAAATATCCTCATGTAAACTAGGCATGATTTCTGCTGAATGTCACTATAATTTCACCTGTTCATTTTTCTTTGGGTTTGTTTAGTTGAGGTTTTTTTGGCATAATAAAAACTCTTCTGTCTTCATGGTGTATGTATTGGTTTCACCTATTTCTTTTTATCATGTGAGGTTGCCTTTTTTAATTCATTCCTTTTGTATCTCACACAGCTGCCTAGCTCCTTGCAGGCACACAGGCTCTCAGCCCTCCGCCAGACATCCATTCTGCTTTTCAATACTAGGTGCAGGGCTTGAGCTCATTGGGAGGAAGGACAAAGAGAAAATCCTTCAAAAAATTAGATGGCAGTGACATTTTTAACAGTATCTGTGGTGGAAATTAAATTTTAACCTGTTTTTAATAACAACGGGAAAGGCATTAGCTAAAGATACAGATATTTTCAGGTTTTATCTGGAAAAGCTCAGGATTGGGTGGGGTTTGGTTTGTTGTCTGGGTAAAGGATTTCCTCCAAAAGTGTTTTCCAAAGTGATCCTACTGCTGTAGCACCACAGCAGTAAAGGCCATAGCAACTGTAAATGTGCATCTAGTCTGGGATTATTTTACCCACATGGGAATACTTTTCATTAGAAACACACCTGTACCTTCATCACTAAATTTTGGTCCACAGTGAGTCTTAAACACCTTGCTTCTACTCGAAACATATCCGTTATGTGAAATCTTCCAAGGATACCCTAAGCATTGTAGAGATCTCAAATAGTCAGTATGCTCCCATAAAGTCCAGAATGCTGAGATGTGTTCTACTGTTTACGCACGAGAGCGCTCCTGTTGGGCATTTTGGGGTTGGTTTGGGGTTTTGTTTTTGTTTGGTTGGCTTTTAGGTAGGCTGGTTGGTTGTTGTTGGTTTTTTTTGACAAAGCTGAGCAGAAGATGCTTGGGCTGTAGGAGCCAGAGCATTTCCCTCAGCAAGCAGTAGATGAGCAGCATGGGGCCATTCTCTTCCATAGTCTGAGCAGCAACCACAGCTGCCTCCTCTGCTCCTCTTTCTGCACTTGTCAGAAGGGACTATTGCGGTAACCCACTTGCAGATTTTAATATGAGTCATGCTCTAACCTTAAAAAAGCAGAATAGAGTCCAATACTGTTGTCATTTCCTACCAGCTGCTTTGGGACGTTTTCCATTCACCCTGTTGCACACATGGTGCATCAGAGGCATGGCCAGGCTGCTTCTGTTTTCTGCCTTCTCACCCAGGCACCTTGCTTCTTGTCTGCCTTTCTCCGTCTGGATAGGTGATATATGATGGAAGTGATAAGACTATAAATGTGGAATAATTGGGATTTATTTCAGTGGCTGTGGTCTGGGTGGTAGACCATAAGGTATGAAATACAATGAGTCCATGCTGGGTTGGGAAAATGGGCCCTGGCAATGAACCGGATAGGCAGGAGCTGCTCTGTGGTAGCATCTAATGAATTTGCTGTTAGGAAGGGGAGTTAAAGTTGTTCTTTCTCTCTCTTTTCAACTCTCCTCAAGCACACTTGCCTGCAGTTACTGAAGGCACAGCAGCTCTCTGTGGTCCTAAATAGTCCTGCAGAGACTTGAGAGAAAACTCTGCATCTCCCACTGTATTTCTCAGCGACAAAACCGTCAGGAATGAACCACCCTCAAGTTCAGGCTGAAACTAGGAGAGTCAGCTACCAGAGAAGTGACTTTGGGATGGTCTTCCTATAATACACACAGGGCAAAATGTGTTTCAAGGGGAAGTGACAGCAGGTTTAAGCCAGATAAAGTGAAGCACTTCTTCCCACACTAATTAGTCTGTGAGAACAGAACTTTTGGAGACCACATCTGTGGATTCAAGAAGGGATTAGACAAATTCATGGAGGAGTTGTCCAACAACAGCTATTGAAAATGCTGGTTTGGATGTAGTCTCCCAGAAGACCCTGAATCACTTATTGCTGGCAGCTCAGCAAGTCAGTCAGGGATGACTCTTGTATGTTGCTTCTGCTCTTTAAGCACTGCTGCTGACTTCCCTCACACATAATGTGCTCAACTCTGATGGGCTTTACTTTGGTCTAGTATGTCAGTGCATAATGGCTCTTAAGATGGAGCTTAATTAGTTGATGAAGCAGTCTACATGATATTGCTGATGGCATTATGAAGGGAATGAACTGGTAGGTCTCTCCAGTAATTTCGTCCCATACCTGAGAAGTCTCCACAAGGGTACAATAGCCTGTAACCCCAGTGAGACAGACACTGTTGTATGCTCTGAACCGCATTGTCCTCAAAATGCTTTTCCCTAGAGGTGCTTGTTAGTCAATACCCAAGCTAGCCAAATTTTTCGGAAGCTCCAAGATGCAAAACTAATAGGGTTCTCATTAATAATGGATGGTTACTGAGAGGAGTGATGTCTGCTTAGGGGTTTTATGCTCTGTAAGATAGCCCTGAAAAGAACAGAACCAAGTAAGAAGTCTTTAAGCCTTTTCTATTGTGGATTTTTCCTGCCTTTGTTAATATTCCTTTTGCCCCCCCCCCCCTTTTTTGTACTGATAAATGTCCTTGCATTCATAAACTCATAATGCATCTTGTTTATCCCTTCAGAACCATCCCTTGCAGCTTTCATTAGCATTTTAGGATATTTATGGCTTTTTAAATGACTGAAAAATCTGCAATTTGTCATTAGGAATTAAGAAAAATCTTCTTTTTACTTAGGGCTGAAGCTCAGCTTTGGCCTTTGAGGGACTGAGCCACCTCTGGGCCTGGCAGACAAAAACAAAGTCAGACAGTGCCCAGATTTACAGCAGCAAGTGGCTCTTGGTAACTCAGATGTCTTTGATAACGTGTCATCCGCTGTTGCTGGCAGGGATTGGTGTTTAGGCTCAGAATTAATTTCTCTTTAGCTGGAGAGAAAACGAAAATATCTTTTCTGTAAAGCCAAAAGGCAAAAGAGGTAGTAACAGGGAGGAAAATGGAAACAGCACCAGGCATGTGTAAAAAAAATGCTTATATATATACATTGCATATACGCACAGTGAAGGTTCACAGAGAGAAAGTACTGTGAGGAAAACATTATATTTCACTTTGTTTTGCTCTGTACTTTTAGATTCCAAATACAGGAAGTTAAGAGAATTTTTAAAGTTTCAAAGAGCAGTTTATCTTATAATCGTGAAGGGCTAAAGAATTGGTTGGACAGGGATAATAATCAAAGGAGCCTTTTCAGCACTGAACTGCGGTCCAGAAAATCAAAGGAAGGAATGTTAATTGCTTTGTACAGCATGATATTCTCAATTCAGAGTAGCTTTGGCCACTCAATGGTACTTTTTCTCTCTCCTTTGTAGGTTGATTAAGTGAATAGAAGAAAAAACCCAGAAAAACGAAGCTGCTTTCAAGTATTGAAGATACAAGGCCAGGATGAACACGAAAGACGCAAAAGCAACTGAAGGAGGTCTCAATGTCACACTTACCATTCGACTTCTTATGCATGGCAAGGTGAAGCATTTATTGTTGCCACAGCGGTTGTCTGTGTATTGAGTGAGTGCGTGCAGTTACCATCAGAGCCTTACAGTGACATTGACAGAGTGTCATTGCTTCTCCTTCTCTGACTTGAGTCAAAAACACCATTGCCATGACCAAAAAATCACCCCCGGCCTTTCAAGGCATCATACTTCAGTTTGCACTGCAGCCAGAGTTCATTGGAACAAACCCTGCCTGTAACAAACCCATTTTGAGCAGATCCGGCAGCAAAAAAAAGTTCTTTTATCAGTAGTTAGCCAAATCAGGCAGACACTTGAGTAAGGCTGACCTGCATGTGGCTTGCCTTTCTCATCATTTGCTGGATTCTGCAGGAGGAGGGTTAAGGTACTAGGACATCGACTCATGTGAAATAATTGCCACAGAATTACTATTTCTGTTGGATGCAAATGAGATAGTTCTTTGTTATTCCAATGTAGCATCTTACTAGAGTGAAGGCCCTGATATACCAAGCATTCATCTAGGTCCCCTGCGGGTTTATTTTGGAAGGTTGACTGTTATTTTGTTTCTGTCCAGTGCAGCATTTAAGCATGCAGATAAGTGTGAAATCTGTGCCATAGACAGAGTGCCAGTTCAGTGTTGTCAGAATTAACAGTCTGATGGCTGTTTATTTTACATTGCCAGATCACAAAATGGGCTTTTAATTAAAAAAAAACCCACATTTCATAGGTTTGTTTGTGTTATTTGCATCAGACAGCACCAGACATTTTTAGGCTTAATGAATAAATTATATAAAGGAGATGATTTGGGCTCTTTCTTAACAAGGAACAGTAAATATATATAATTCTGGAGATCAGATTTGCATATATAAATCTAAAAGTATTTTTACTCATATAATTTAATTTAATAACAAAAAAATACATTTACATTTCTAAACAGTTCATGCTTTCAATCTGCAGCAGGAGCACACATGCAGTATACTGTATCACAGACAGGAGACTAAGGTCCTATTATAGTCTCCCTCTGTATTTTACTTACGGAGCTGCTAGGAAGTATGAGAGGGTACAGTTTAAGTCTGCAAATTAAAAAACTCAGAAATAAGGTTATGTCAGATCAAATTACGTATTTTCTCAGAAATCATCCAACCGTTTTATTTAAATTTTTTTTCCCCTGAAATATTCCGCTTCAGGCAGGCATCTGGTGTGTAGGATCTGCATCTTAAATAGGGATCTGTCAAGCAAATTTAATAACAGTCTCTCTTACCAAACTCACCTAACATCTGTATGCATGTCTGCACTCCAAATTAAGTCTTAGGGGTTGATTCTGCTGTGTTCTGATCCCAATCCAGAATAGCATTTAGAATCACAGAATCACAAAATAGTGTCGGAAAGGACCTTAAGATCATCTAGTTCCAACCCCCTGCCATGGGCAGGGACACCTAACACTAAATCATGTTACCCAAAGCTCTGTTCAACCTGGCCTTGAACACTGTCAGGGATGGAGCATTCACAGCTTCCCTGGGCAGCCCATTCCAGTGCCTCACCACCCCCACAGGAAAGAATTTCTTCCTTATACCCAATCTAAACTTCCCCTGTTTAAGTTTTAACCCATTACCCCTTGTCCTGTCACTACAGTCCCTAACAAATAGTCCCTCCCCAGCATCCCTATAGCCACCCTTCAGATACAGGAAGGCTGCTATGAGGTCTCCATGCAGCCTCCTCTTCTCCAGGCTGAACAGCCCCAACTTTCTCAGCCTGTCTCAGCCTCTTCTTGAACATGTCCTTATCCTGGTGGGTACAAGTAGCTGTACCAGTTGCAGTCAAATTCACATGTGGTTAAGCGTGCTTTTTTTGACCACTGTCAGATGCTGTCAGCTCTGCTTCTTTCAGAACCATGCCTTTAAAGCAAAACTCAAGTATCTGTCATTTTCAGGATGTTTTAGTTAAACTGTGGGCTAAGATTGGGGCTTTTGTAAACAATTTTTGGTTTTAATCAGAAATGAAATTTGAAAAAGTTAATTTTCTGTGTTAAAAGTCAGTGATTGTGTGTGCAGCCACTTTTAACAATAACAGATGTTACATGTCCAATTTTCAATGTGTATGTAGCCCCAAAGGGTCTAAATTAAACCCGTAGAAGCTACGAAGTTCACATTTTAAGAGAGAGTGTACTATGCATCCTCAGATAACAAGGCACTATGGGTATACTGTTAACTCTGCTATACTCTAACCAATGTGCCTAAGTATTTCAAAGAGTACATTAAATCAATTTATTTTGGTGATAAAAGTCAGACCCTTACAGTTCTTTGATGTAATTTCTGTGGTTTAGAAATTATAATATAGAGGAATGAAGGATATCTGAATCAATAGGAACTCAGTGTGAGAAGGTCACTCTGAAAGCTCTATGAACCAGTGAAAAGGAAATGCTTCTAGGCTCTTCCTTAAGGTCTGTTGTGGTAATGACATTGGTGGAAATTGCTGATCTCTAATTAGTATTTCTAGACGAAACAATTAACTGAAGCAGAGCTTGGGCTGTACATAACTGGTCATAACCTGAAAGAGAAAATGGGAATTAAAAGGTTGTTTTTAAAAAGTGGACTCAGTTAATATTAAAGTAATTTTGAAGTTATGAATTTATTAGGGTGTTTCATGGAAAAATGAGGGGCTGTCCCCACCAACCTTAACTCTGTCTCTAAACCTTTATTGCCAGTATACCTTTGCGTAGTGAGGGTCTATGTACTTTGTGATATTTGCATTCATTTGACTGAAAGTCCATAACTTGTGCTACTATGTTTATCTTGGCTGTAAATCCTGTGGACTTAAGAAATTTTCAGCGTGTACTTTCTATGTGATTTGTATAGGGGCTTTAAGTCAAGGATGGACATCTTAATTAGGCAATTAAGCTAAACTCTGTATCTGCAGACAGAAAAATCAGGCTTTATATGAATGGACAGACCTTTGCAAGAGGGTAGGGAATAAAAAGTATCTTTAGCAATAGCAAGCAAAACAAGGAAAAATCGAAGACAACATTAGCGTCTGGTGACAGGAAAACAGATGGGAACTGTCCTGAGCTCCAGTACAACCCAGGTCCCATTCCTCCTTGCAGGAAGGGCACCTCTCATCAGTGTCTTTGCTCTGTCTTGCTTTGAGGAGAGAAGTGGCTGTAGGTCCAGCTGAGCTCCCGCAGTGTTTTATGCAGCCTCCTGCCAAAGAGGCTGGGATGGCCACTTGGAGGACGTGCTCTACCGCTCTTCCACAGCATAGCAAGATTTGGGAATGGCTTGCTGGCAAGGAGACAGGGCACAGCCTTGTTTTTCTCAGGTAGAAATTGTAATAGTGAGGAAGCACAGGGTTATATATGGTGAGGTATGAAAAGTTAACATCAGGGCCTGGTCCTGAGCCAGGACTTGAGAGAAAGTGTGATGGTGTAAGATAAATGGCCTGATTTTCATCTTGCGCTATGTTACACCAGTTAAAAAGTTATGATTGTGTGACAGCCCTGAAGAGAAACGAGAAGCAACACAAAACACTTGTTCATATGTTCTTGCAATGGGAGGGCAGGTGCTAGGGCGTACACAGGGGCAGTGCTCAGATGTTCTTCATATCCGCAAAGAAGCAACTGGATATCCTAAAAGCAAAATAGGAAAACCAGGCTTGTTCAGCCTGGAAAAGTGACAGCCTCGGGGAGATGTTATATCAGCCTTCCAGTACCTGATGGGGGGCTACAAGAAACCTGGAGAGGGACTCTTTGCAAGAGCATGTAGTGACAGGGCAAGGGGGAGTTACTTTAAACTGAAGAAGGAGAGATTTATGTTAGATATGAGGAAGAAGTTCTTCACTATGAGGGTGGTGAGACACTGGAACAGATTGCCGAGAGAAGCTATGGCTGCCCCATCCCTGGCAGTGTTCAAGGCCGGGTTGGACACAGGGGCTTTGAGCAACCTGGTCTAGTGGAAGGTGTCCCACCTGCAGGGTGGTTGGAACTGGATGAGCTTTAAGGTCCCTTCCAACCGAGACCATTCTGTGATCTATGGTACCTGGCTGTATGAGGAGGGGAGGAGGCTGCCCAGAAATGCCACACCATCCATTACTGGAGGTTTTTAAGGACAAGTTAAAAAAAATGTATGCGTCCTGTAAAGCTGCCATAGCACTAATTTTGACTGAGTTATCCGAATGCTGCTCTGAAGAGGGCATGAATGGAAGAGTAGTTTGGAGCATGTCTAGGATACATAGAGTATATTAAATAATGCAGAGATGCATTTCCATCTTTCATTAATGACAAGGGTGCACTACATTAAGGAATAAGGCTGTTTTGTGCATTTCAGTAGCGAAAAAAAGGGAATATGGACTGGGCCTGTTTACATTGCCCTACTTCTGTATTTTCCATCTAATTAATTCCTGCTGTTTCTTGAAGTAAAATAAATAAAATTACTCTGTAGGGTAGAGATATGAATGGGTGCAGACACTTTATTACTTTTATCTACCTAAAAAGTATACATTGTAGGCAGGACTACAATATTGGAGGGATTGCAAAAGTTCTGCTTCCAGCAAAGGCAGAAGTAGCAGCATTTATCCATACCAGAACACCATTTTTGAAGGACTGAAGGAACACAAATTGAATGCGTGTGCATTTGTGGGCAAACAGTCCCCAGCTATCGAAGCCCTCGATAAGGAAAGGCAGAGCTCAGGCTCCAACAGAAATGTGCCTTTCACTTTTTAATTCCTTTTTTGATTTTTGTCAAAATCAAACTTCTTTTGGCTATCTGCAATTTACAGGGTCTCTGGTGGAGCTCGATGAGTTATCATTCTTTGCTCAGCTTTTGCTGATTTTTTTTTTTTGTTTGTTCCCATAGCTTGTGGTTGTTGGTTTGGGGTGTTTTTTTCCTGATTACTGCCACAATGAGGTTGGAAGATTGTGGGAAATTGTAGCCTTGTCCAGAGGTATCTCCCAACATGCATCTGCAGTGCTCTTGTTCTGGTTTTGGTCAGTTCATGCCCAGAAAGAAAACAATCTTGAAGAAG